ATACATATACATATACATATACATATACATATACATATACATATACATATACATATACATATACATATACATATACATATACATATACATATACATATACATATACATATACATATACATATACATATACATATACATATACATATACATATACATATACATATACATGTTTGCCATTTGACCGCGCGCCTCTCGCCACGCCTCTCACTAGAAAAAAAGTCTTTTCGCCTGCCCCTCGCCACTAGCCATTACAACTATGTGATAAACCTAACCGTACCATAAGAATAAGATGTTAAAAGCACGCCTAACCACAAGCGTACAAACTTTATATGAGTTGTAACATCACTTTCCTCAATTAGGATAAAGATATATGTCTACCACTCAACCAAAGCAAATGCATCGTGTAAGCCTTTCACAACTATGCATGTAGCTGTAATTCAATGGAAAGGCCTTGCGTTTTGGCATAATACAGCATAACAAAATACTCCCTCTGCCCAACTACTTTTTGGACATGAGAGAGTGGCACAAAAATTAAAGAAAGTAAGATTGCTTTGGGGATATTGATGTTAAAAAGAAAGATAAAGTAGAATGAATATGAACCACACAAATACGGGCAAATATGGTATGGTACAAAAATAGGACAGAAAAAAGGTAAAAGGGGACAAAAAAAAGTGGGACAGAGTAAGTATATTTAAACTATTACTAACCTAATGGTCATTTAATGAAACTCTGATGACAAAATGGAGGGGGTAGGGAGAGTCGCTCATCACACAAAATTAATGATTTCTTTTGAAGGAGATATGCCAGTAAACTAAGAGTCTTATGTAAAGACTGAATATTCTTGAGAGACAATCATGACTCCGAGTCGTATATTGAAATTAATAAAATAACAGTACTATGAAATAGTAGTGTGACATTTGCTTTATGCCAAACTTGATGCATCACTCATGTAAACACTTGTGATGAAAAATCCACTAATAATATTTGAAATCATGAATTGACATATTAAGCACAAATATAAAGAAGTAATCCCAAAATGAACTTGCCTCTTTCCCTTGCTTCAGAGGTAAGAATCTGACTGAGCATCAATTGCCTTCGCTCCTCATCCGCCTCCCTAAATTGCAGCAACAATGTTAAATTTAAATCAATAATAGAACAGAATGTCTGCAAATAGCTTGATTGAAAAGCCGCATCGAGATTAGTGCAGTAACCTTTTAGCATCCTCTTGGGCCTTTTGTTGATCAGGGTTTCCCTGATTGCAGACAACTCTTTTATAAGCAAATATATACTCTGTATATATCTTCTTCTTTACAAGTACTAATGCATATCTCAGATAAACAATATTCAAGTATTAGAAAATTCTCTTACAGCACTGCGTTGAGCCATCAGCTCCTGCATTCTCCTTTGCCGGATAGCTTCTAATTCAGGATCCGCCTGAAAGAAAGAAAGAAAAAAAAGAACACTCACCAACCACGAATTCAAATATTATTAAGATCCTAGTATTATCAATTGAAACAAACCATGTCGGTTCAAATGGACCACAGTCGATCGGTAACGAGGTTACAGACGCTGTCGGTATACCCCCGGATAGGATGGGGCTAGGAGAGAAAAGTGCGGAGTTCGGAGTGGAGATTCTTCGGGCAGGAGCGGGATAAAAAAGCAAACGTAGTATAGGCGGTTGGGGTTCAGGTCTGAAATAAGTCGGCGGAGATGATTCCGGCGATGAACTCGCGATGACGGCGACGAGAGGGAAGCTCTGCGCTCGCGGGTGGTAGTCAGGGACTCAGATCTGTTTGGGAGAGGGTCGATCTTTCTAGGACCACTTATTAGGGTTCTTGTCTTCCGATCGTGTTTAGGAGTAACATGTACCCTATTGAGCCGATAGGGTTAATGTATTAAATATTTCAATTTGATACGAGATTTTAAGTCTTATTGATCTTTATTCTGAAATGTTGGTTGGTTCGGTATAAAATTTAGGATGAATAGATACACACGCCTAATTAAAACTTTAAAATGCCAAAAAAAATGTATTTTTCTTATAACCAAAAGTATATTTAAATAAAAAACTTAGAAACAAAAAACTGTAAAATTAAATATTAAATGCAAGAAATGCTTATTAAACCTAGTTTATATGTCACAAACAATACTGAACGGATGATAATAAAATGATATTTTAAATGTGTGTTGATATTTTTAAATTCTTCTACAAAAATCAAAACTAAAATAAAAGTATAATGTACCCCTAATAAAATTTAAGCCAAATTTTAAAAATAAACTTATCATTTAATTAAGAAATTTAAAGATATTCTTATACTTATAATATATTAGTGTATTTATTCGATTCTGGATTTTCGGTATCGAAAGTTACTTCGTATCGTTCCCAAATACAAAACTGGACGGTTTGGTATTTTAGCGACATTTTTCGGTTCATTTTTCAGGATTTTTTAAAAAAATTTCGACATTGATTTGGTACTTGCTCACAGCTAGTTTTTCTATTTCCCTATTTTCATGCACGAGTCAAGCACTTTCAAACAAAAAGAAAAATGATGCAAAATAAACTACGGAGAAAAATATGGACTTTATTCTTAAAATGGAAATGGCACATTTTAATCTCTAAAATAATACGGAGTAGTTTACATCGTGAAAATTTTACATATTTTAGTCTTTTTTTAAGAAAATGAAATGGAAAACGTGTTGTTTGGTTACATGAGATAAGAACAATGGAAGAAAAAAATGAAAGTAAAATAAACTAGAAGAAGAAAATAAAATCACACCCTTTTTTGAAGAAAAAAATCTCATATTAGTGTGGAAATTAGAAAAAAACTATTTTTTTCCCTTCCCAGTTCTTTGAATCAAATATACTCTTATAATTTGGTGACAAACTATATCTTTTAGTTCTCATCTAGGCATGTCAATGAGTCAGGGTTAGATCTCGACCCGAATAAAACCAACATCTTTCAACGTGTTTGGACCTATAAAAATACATGCATAGTGTGATGCTAGTCTTATATTTAATTTTATTCAATTCAAATATTATCTTTTGTACTATTTATACTCATATCATCATATGTATCAATTATAAAATACAAAAGATATCAACTTTTAACACAAGTATATCTAACCTGATATCAAGACATGATGAGTCTAAATCTAGTACACAACTCAAGATTAGTTAGGTAGATGGATATGATTGTACAAGTATGATTTTTTATGAATACAGATATGGAACATTCAGAGTCAACCTAAACCATATTCACAGGTCTACTCTCATCTCTTACTTTATTTAAATATTAAAAAATATATAATAACAAATATTATACTATACTAAAAGTAAAAAAAATATAGTAACGATTCATTTATTTTGAACAGAGTACTTTGTAATTCTTTGAAATAGTGTCCTATTGAATTGAGTTAGCAACTTAAAAAGGACGAATTACAATATATTATGTTTCTTCACAAGAGCAATTAAAATATATTGAAGATTGTATTTTGAACAAATATTGGTACAAAAATAAAAAAATTTTACAATTGTAATAGAATTATTAGTGTTCAAAAAATTCAACATACAACCATACAATTTTAAACCAATAACATATGTCACCAGCATACAATTCTAATGGCATAACAATGCAATTGGAGTACTTTGAGTGTTTTGTTTGTAAAGTGGGCACGCTTCGGTTTACAATTGGCCAGCGGCGCCACTAGCAGTGTCACTGCGTTTTTAAAGTACTTCTAGTCCTCCGTTCGAAATATTTAGGGGTGTAAACGGATATCAATCGGATTTTATGTGTCATTACCAAATTCATATCCGTTTATTTTTGTCAGATATCGAATTCGGATACGGATCTTGACGGATACTGAAAATCAAAACTGTATCCGCATACGTCAGATATCGGTCGGATATCAGATATATCCGTATTCGTTTCCAATTTTTATTAAACAATACTTTAATTTTCAATTAAACCAAATCAAAATATTATTAAATCAGCTATATTTTTTATGGAATAATTATTTTCTTATTTTTTATTATTTATGATATTCTACGATGACTTCATATCATAAAAAGATACACATAATACATATATACACACATTTTTATATGTTTACACATATTTTTATGTGTCTACATATATATTTTACATATAAAAACGCCATATTCTTTGAGATATCAATAGATAAACAAAGAATAAAAATAAAAAAATTAGGAAAAACTATAAATAAAGGATCAGATAGACGGACAAACGGTTATTTAAACGGACGTTAATGCGGAGCGGATTATAAACGGATCGGATGTATGATTACCAAATCCGTATCCGTTTAGCAAACGGATATCCCTAGACGGATATGGATAATAACCGTTTTTAACGAATGCAGATATTTTCTATATAAACGGACACAGATGCAGACGGTAATCAAATTTTTGATTATCCGTCTTAGAAAAATTTATAGCTCTTATTTCCATAAGTTCACCCGCTAACCCCCCACCCCATCCACCTTAAAACCGTCCTTCATATGTGTGGCTATTATATAATTTAAAAAAAGAGCTCATCAAATTTTCCTACATAAAACTTATAAAATACGTAGTATTACTCTATATTTTATTGTATTAACATACAATGCATTTTTAAACAACTGATTACTAAAAAAAATATCTGATTACTAAAGTTAGTACTCCCTTCGTTCATATCTTTCTTTGTGTTGGGCAAGATGAAGAAAAATCTTAAATGACTCAATCTATTTTATTGAAATATTTGTATAGAAACAAAAAATGAAATTTATATATTTAAAACTAAATAAAAAATTACCAAAAAAGTTGTGACAAAAATATTTTAATTTATTACATAAGTTATAAAAAAGTGCAAATAAATAAAATTCACTTGAAATTGAAATAGTGCTCTATATATATATATATGACGGAGGGACTATTAATTTATTAAACAAAAATAAAATGATGGCACTAGCCTCTTAAAAATATCACATCTCTCTCTTGTCCCAGCTCTGGAGGTTGCTCGATCTGAAGCTGCACAGCTCATTTCCTCTAATTTCTCTGGCTGTCTCAAAATGGTGAGCTCTCTTTATTAGTACATGCCCACAAACAAACTCGGATTTGCTCTTTACGTTCATTACCTTTCTGAATCCATAAACAGTTTTGATTTTGGACAGTAATCGATCTCTTTTAAGATTTCACCTTTTTTGTGCATAGATCGTTTTTGAAATACGCAGTGTCATGAATTAGTGTAATGGATCGTTTTAGAAGCGGTATGTGATCTGGAGTAGATTTTAGGGGTTCCGCTGGTCAGTGTTTAGACTTGCCAGGAATTGGCATTCCCTTTATCCAGCCATTTTGTGCTTGGATCCCAACTTTTTATCTGTCAGAAGTTGCATTTTGCGGCAGAATTTAGGATCTAGGTGGCGAGATGTTACCTTTTTAGGCAGTCTTTGGAAGGCAATGCGAGATGGGCGAATGGTTGAAACATGAAAAAAACCAGGGAAACTGAACACATTACTGATATTTTATTATTGTTGTTTGCATTAGTTTGAAATGGAAGTAAAAAAAGACGTGAGTGAAGTGCTGTTTGTTTTGTAACCTTGGAAATGAAGCATATGGTTGTGTTATTGGGCAATGGTTCTACGCGTCTACCTCATTGAAAGATGGGTGCTTTGATGTGATTTTTAAAAAAAATTCTCTCTTGTTTTTTTGATTCATTTATTTATTTGTCATTCAAAATGATCCCCGTCGTTAGAAATTTTTCTTGATTTAATATGTACTCCCTCCGTCCCAATTTTAGTTTCATGTTTACTATTCATAGGGTCAAACTTTATTCACTTCCTTTATCTACTTGCGTCACTTGATAAAATAATATTTTCATGTCTTCTCTTGTTTCGTAGAATATTTTATGTAATTTTGTTTTTCAATTTCACCTCAATTCTTAAATAAGTTGAATTAAAAATAATTTCAGTCAAACATCATAAACCGAAACAGACAATTTAATTTGGGATGGAGGGAGTATTTTTCAAGTTCTTCAAATTAAAACCTCCATTGGTCTGATTGCTTTGTCTTATGCTTGGTGGTGAACCTGCTAGATTTTTTGTAATTTCAGGGTTGCCTTTACATTTTTATTTAACTAAATAACAGTGAAAACAAAGAGAAATGATTGGCGCTTGATTGTTTGAATGTCAACAATAACAATAGATCAGTAAAATCCCACAAAAAGTAGGGTATTGGGAGGGTGTGTGTACGGAGACCTTACCCCTACTTTGGAAGCTGGAACTTATTTGGATGTCATGAATTGAGAATTCAGAAGAGGAAAAGGACTGACCGGAGATTGAGGGGAGTTAGTGTCGGAAAATATGATATAGCTGTGCGCACAAGGGATTTTCCCCATTCAATTTTGAAATGCAACTAATAAACTAATAAAGAATGATTTGTTACTCCATTGAGTCTGTGACTCGCTGTGCACCAAGGTGTCATGTGTTATAATGTTTATCTTTTCTGCAGGTTTCCTGCCCTTCAGTTAAGAACATTCTCCTCCTAGACTCTGAAGGAAAGCGTGTTGCTGTCAAGTACTATTCAGATGAATGGCCAACGAATGCAGCAAAAGATGCATATGAGAAGGCTGTTTTTGTCAAGACTCAAAAGACTAATGCGAGGACGGAAGGTGGAACCATGATACACCTGGGGCGTTTCTGTTTTTCATGTTACATCTTTACTTACATTACTTGCACACCATTTTTGACTTATTGTGGTTGCCATGTCCAACACAAAATATCTGTTTGTGTATGCCTTTGTCATTTGCTACATACAGTGACATTGTGGACGCTTACCATTCCTTTTGTATTTTTCCTTCTTTCCCTAGGAAAAAACAATAAAATTTCAAACACTAATTTGATCTGTCAAAACTAACTCTTATGCTGTTTTGTTTAGCTGAGATAACAATGTTTGAAAACAACATCGTTGTTTACAAATTTATTCAAGATCTTCATTTCTTTGTCACTGGGGGTGAAGATGAAAATGAGCTCATACTAGCCACTGTTCTCCATGCATTCTTTGAAGCAGTTAATTCTCTTCTGAGGTAGGTGCAACAACAGACTACTTACTTACGGAGTATACTTTAAAAAGGTGATACTTATATCATCAGCTCATCTCATTGCAAATGCACACTTTAATCAGGGGTAACGTTGACAAGAGGGAGGCACTTGAGAATTTGGACCTTATTCTCTTGTGCCTTGATGAAATTGTTGATGGCGGGTAAGATTATTATCTAAAACTGTCTCTGCCTAGTTAACACCCGATTTCATTTATGATGCAACACATTCACATTTATGTGTAATTAACGTATCTGCAGAATTGTTCTTGAGACTGATGGAGACGACATAGTTGCAAAAGTTTCTAGTAATACTATGGATCCTGGAGCACCTTTATCTGAACAGGTAATCCCCCAACTCTTGCCATTCTCACTTTGGCTTCTCTCTGATGTGCAAGGTTTAAATATTTAGAAATTGAAATATAAAAGCATAGAAATATAGAGAACCATCACCATTGGATGGGAAGTATGGAATAATGAAAGAATATAATTTCCTGAATTTCAACAGACTATTAGCCAGGCACTGGCTACTGCTCGTGAACATCTCACAAGATCACTTTTGAAGTGATACAATGATGAACAGACAAGAGACGTTGAGAAGATGCTGCAATATCAAAAGCTTCCATCGCACTTTCAACTCATGCGGGCTGCTAAAAGCTTCTCTAAAGGTTCTTCTTCCTGCATTATAGTGTCGTTTCATGCTTAAGGAGACTTGAGAGACATATTGTGTAATGTGTTTGTTATACAATAAAAACATATTCTTGGATTCTTAGTTTTCCTCTCTCTGCCCTTGTGCATGTTTACGACATCTCAGATGGGTCTTTCTGGGATTGTCTTAATGTTTCACCGACGCCTCCAGTTTTACTATATGTCCGGTCTTTGAATTTATGATGAAAATGCTGCATTTCAACTCTTGAGAGCGCTCTCGAGCACCATTCTAATCTTCTCATTCTGGGTAGAAGTAAAGGTTGACATTTGTGTAAAGACTCACAGGTCCCTCTATGTTTTTTTTTAAACTCGGCAAAGGTCCTTAAATTGATGTATAAAGAGGCACATTACGGTGTCATCCTCTTAAGTTCCAGTGAGTAATGGATCGGAGCCACGGAGGTGCTCAAATTATTTTAATCCCCATTATACCCTTGACATAGTAATGAATGAGCTACGTAAGAAGCCTGTTATCCTAAGAAGTTCAGTAAATATGCCTCTGTGTGTCTAACCCATTGGAGCCAGGGTTCACATGAAGCGGAGACACTGCAAAAATTTGTGCTCACAGTAGCGCAACTCCAAACAACTTTGGAACCCATTTTTATGGAGCTATAATCAGTGGCGGATCCAAAACAGAATTTCACCATCAACGTTTTATTTGACTTTTCACAGTTTTCAATGTAACACTCTGATCATTAATATTTTATTTATATATAAATATATATTACTCCGTATAAGAATAAAATATTTCAAACTTTGTTTTAAAAGAAATGTCTTGATATTAAATTTATATGAAGGTTTAATGTATTTTTCCATAATATATGGTCAATGTTCAAAAAGTTTGATCACAAAAGTCAAATTAGGAAGTTAATTTTAGAATGTAGGGAGTACTTAGATAATTGTTTGTTTTTTTTATTTTGAAAAAACAAAAAAACTAATGTGAGAAGATTCACAAAAATCAGTTAACTTTGGGTTTTTCTTGGGAGGCGTCCTATATCAATGTTTCATAGTTGACCGGATACGGATATTAAGAAAAGTGAAATTTTGCTGCTGAGAAGTCATTGATGTAAAGTTTGCCAAATATGAAAAGTCAAACCTTATTTTGGGATGAATTTATTATGGTACAAAACTCAAATAAAACAAAAAAAAACTAAAAAGAAGAATAAAAACGAACCTCATCTTTCGTGGCCATGGCCAACTTCACGACAGACTTACGTAGAGCACTCACGAACAAGTAGTCCTCCGGTTAAAGAACGCATTAATTTTCTGTTAAATGAGGAATATAATTATCATTTTCTATATCTACAAATTAGCCTTGATTTTCACCGCCCATGTGTACTTATACACCATCACTCTCGTCAAATCTTTTCCATTTGCATTCCATTAGTTAAAAAAAATTACTCCATGAAAACGTAAATGCTCCTAAAAAACGTTACTTCCATCTTCCCACCACATGCAGCATTGGCTTCATCCGTCTACAATAGAAGTTGCGTCATCTCCTAAGCGTATCAACTCCCTCTCTTCCGTTCTACATCGGTCGTGTTTCAGAACCAGCAATTGAATACCCGAATTGGCTTTCAAACTTTCCCCCCTTCTTCTATTATGCTTTGGTCAATTTATTTTGGCCCCGTTTGGCATCAGCGTCAGAGATTAGCGTTAGCGTTTTGAAAAAGCTATCCGACGGTAGCCTTTAGCGTTAGCGTTTTCAGAATTAATTTGTACCGTTAAAATTTTATCCAAAACGTTAACACTAATCGAAAACGTTGTTACCAAACAAAGCCTTTGTCTACAAAGGGTACATGAGAGGTTAAGTGAGAAGGGTAATGAAAATTAGGAAACTGCCTACATACTTGACAGTAGGTTGGTGGCAATTTGGAAAGAGGACTATATTGTGCATTACTCTTTAAAAAGAACCAAATTGGAAAGAACACTTATTCCAAAAGACTAATTCGGGAATTTACTCTTAATTTAACTAAATTTTTTAACTTGTTAATTAGTATCTTTGATTGGGGGGGGGGGGGGGGG